CCGAGCATGTCACCATTGGGCCACGGGTGGGAATTCAGTGTCCGTTGGTCATTGGTTACTGTCTTCGACAGGTGATTCTCAAAGTTCTAGTGGGAAGTCGTGACAGGTGGGGCCCACCAAGTCGAACATGAGGACAGTTACTCAGTGATGGCTTCAGATGGAGGGTGCGCTAAACCGTGAACTGAAAGAAGTAGGAAATATGGACCATTGGGTTCCAACACGGTAGCTCGATGACAACGTGCTGGCCATGGAACCTAGATTTCCCGAGTTCGACCCCTGGTGAAGTCATGTGTGCGTTCTCGTGAACAGTCACATACTAGTACAAATCAGCTCTCCAGTGCACCCATGTTTCCAATTTTCCTTCAACTGACGTCAGCTGGTGATAAAAGAACTTGAAATCAATGGATCGATCCCTACAAATCTTCAAACTGAATAGGTCTTAGTAATGTAGAATTTCATACACTTTTATTTAATTCTGAGGAGCTATGGTGCAAAGTTGTGGTTGGTGGCTCAAGATGCACAATAGATAATTTGAATTTATTCGTGTTTGCGAATTCACAAGCCTGTCACTTGGTAAGTTTTAATCTGTCTCTTTCTACGTCCTTAATATACCTAACTTTTTCTTTCTTCTGCATCACAGCGGTACTCTGAAGGCATGGATAACAAAAGATCTACAATTCACTTATTCTACACCTTTATTGTCTGTTCATGCCGAACTATAGTTACTCTGCAGCTTACCACAGCTGAAAGTGACAATTGGCATCAAATTATGATTTATCATTTCGCATTATGCTTATAAAAGTGCTAATTAAATATTTTTCCCTCTACTAGGCTATTCTCCTTATTAACCCTGAGTGAAGCAGAAAAGATTGCCAATAATGATCATTCTTCAAGAATCAATGGAAGGCTAAAATGTGCCACCTCTGAAGCAATCAGTATGTCAAAAATTAACAAAAAGCTGACAGTAGAACCTGTATATATTAACTGTCAGTTATAGCTCATATGTTTTCAAAAACAGAAAAGAGCTGGAAGTCCTATTCAATTTTGCAGTTCAGTAGGTAGGCTGAGTCTCCATATACTGCTATAACACCACAGTAGATAGTGTTTCCATGTTGGGTATGAGAAATCAGTCAGCAGAAAACTTTGAGCCTGGGTTTTGTGCTTGTTGACACATCAAAAAACGTGTATCCGTCAGTAACTTCAATGTATGTCACTGACTACTGAAACCAAAGACTACGACTAAGCCATTAGAACCATGACAAACCTCCTATAGAACTGAATTATGCAAACAAACTGGCTACCAGTGGACAACCGACTTTATTGTCTAATCCTAAAAGCTAAGCGCCGATCAAAGTCCATCAATCACGTTTCCAATGTTGTTACTAAGCTAAGGGACCTGGTACTGTGACACACTCTTTCTTGTTGTTGGATTATAACCGTCAGTCAGCAGCACTCATCAACAAAGACTATGTAGCTACATTGGTTATCATCAGAATTATGATTGAGGAAACCTGCATTGTAATAAGTTCTCTCACATCTGGAATAGACCTGCTGAGGAAATACTTACCGCAGGCACATTATCTACCTTTTATTCTGCACTTAATAAGCTCCTAACAGATGATGATCAGTCTATCACTCGCCTAGGCACTATCTATACGTTCTGGGTTAATGAAAGCATACTAGGACCTCTAAGAGTATAGAGTACAGCTTTCATAAATCTCAAGTACTTTTTACCTCAATGGACTCATAAAGGGTGTTTGATTACTAGTCCATCTGGTCGGATTGTACAGTACAAATACATAACCAGTGTTCCCTTTAAGTTTACCAACAAAAACTGCCTATCTAATAACTCGTGTGAACTTCATATAAGAAAAACAAAAAGGAAGATTCATTCTCATATGAATAAATTAAAGTTTACATATAGCTCGAATGACTTTAAAAAAACAAGAATTTCTCTCCTCCCAGTTTGTTTTACGTGGTATTCCATTGTCCAGTTTCTCTTGAGCTTTCTTTTCTTTTCCCTTTTCAGTATCAGCCTGAAGAGAAAGTCCTAAGCATCAGTTCGATCAAAAGTATCAACTTACTCGAAATCCTACTTCGCACCTAATACTAGAAATTGATGTTAGAGATATCCAACTGGCTCGCCCCGATTTTCTTGTTTCTTGAACCGCTTGACAACTAACTCACCTCCCTACCAGTACCCTAAATGCTACCACCCCACGAAACCCTAAGCACAATAACGGATCTCAGATTTCTTGTACGTGATAAATGCAGCGGAAATCTCGATAAACAATCAACCCGAGAGATCACTTTACCTAATGGCAACACATCCATAATAATGTTATGTAACAGATTTCTCTAGTACTTTATCTTGTTCAATCCACCTTGTAGAAGTCAATTAACAGCCAATGTATCTTCTTGACAATGTTGCATACTTTAATGTGAAGTCTATGAAGTTTTACACATGTGTATTATTCACCACCATTGAACGACGATTCTTCCCCTCTTTAATTACTAGCACCACAACAACATTTTCAGTATTACTAATCTGAATTTCTGGAAAGGTAACACTTGAAGAGTGAGAAATGCCTGAACTTAGACATTCACCTGGATTAAATGATTGTATGGATACTTACTTATTCCTGAAATCATTGAGGTAAATTATTGTTGGTCAATAAATCCACGAACATAAGAGTTGCTGTTAAAACAGACGTTTATCTGACGAAACACTTGGTCTGGTCATATTGCAAATGCCGATTATTGTGCCGTTTGATGTGAAGAAAGAATTGTGAGCAGAATGACTTAAACTCAGAACGATATGTATGTACTGTAAAGTGATATTTTCCTGCTATTTTCATAACATTAAGACATTTGGTATCATGATAGAGTTTAACGTCCTCCCTCTGTATTATTCAATACTGATAAAGCCTTATATGTTTCTCTGTAATTATCAATTTGATGAAGCCTGTAAACTGGCTTCTCTCATGTTAACTTCATAACTTGAGAATAAAGATATTTTTTTTATTTATTTATAACTAAACTAGTGATTATATTTTATTCATATCTTTGCAAAATGTTACAATCTCTTTAAAATGTCGAGTTAAATTTGAATCTTTACGATTCTTTCTGATTTCTTTATTCGTAATTTCAATGAACGGTTGAAAAACAACATCAAAAATTTTCTATAAAATTCATGAGAATAGTAAAATTTTCAATCTTGTAAAAGTAGGTTAAACAATAAAATAATCCATATTCTTGTCAGTCAAAAAATTGAATTTTCACCTTTCGGTTAAAAATATATAGCGTTTTAAGTTCTAAACTTTTGAGGAAGCAAACATTGTTTTGATAAATAAAAAAAATCAACTATAACTCAGGAAGTTACCTTTAATGTTTAGTTTTCGATTTAGTATCTCCCTATGTAACTGTCAATCATAACATAGTCAAATCAATTCAGTTTGAAAAGTAGTTATTCATGCCGCTTAATCTATACACTACTTTGTTAAAACAAATAATACAGTAAATAGGTAGTTTTCGATAAAGTTATGTTCAATGGTTGCAAAAAAACGGTAAAGTTATAAAAGAAACAGTATCATAGAGTTGCTTTGCGTTTAGCTGAAGAATACTATATACAGTGTACATTTAAGGATTTGTATATTCATCTGTGCAGCTTGGTTAAGACAAATATCTATAACTCGAAACCAATGGTTTGTATAATAAAACTGATAACACTTTTCCTACGTCAAGATTATTAATGAAATTAGATCCAAAACTCTGAGAACTTCGAGAATAAGGTCAACTTGAAGTGTTTTACTAAATGAATAGATATGTTGTCAAAAAGGTGAAAAAAATCACCTTTCAAAACTACATAGATCATCAAGTTACCTTGATTTATTTCATTCAAATGGATGACATTTGGTGATCATTCAATATGATGTACACATATGACTTTTAACAAAATTTCACTTTGATTCACACTGGAATTCTGCTAGCTGAAAATTAATTTGAGCTCAGTAGACGTCTTGAATTGAAGTCATTCAGGAGTGAAATTAAAACAATACTAACAAAGTAAACAAGATCCTGAATAGTGGAAAGGGTGAAGGATTAAATGATCTTAATTATTTTCTAATAAGTTAAGTTTCAAAACCCATTTGACGGTACCATTTTGTTTATAAGCAAAGACAAATCATTATTCCTCGAGGTTTACAAAGAGGGTGTAGTTCATTATGATGGGTAGACATTTGCATATGAACATTATAGCACTGATGGATAATGAGGGTGACACAGAAACTATGGGTCACCTTCTTGCTACACGTAGTAATTACTGACTTGATTCTAATAAGCGATGCTGTCCTAATCTTATAGTAGTGGATGTGACTCACAAACCCTTCTCATGTTAACACCGCAGATTTAAATCTCTTCAGATGGTTGAAAAGCAGTACTTCACTTTATATTGAAGGGTTGGAGGGATTTATCTAAGTTCAGTAGTTCTATGATTACATTTAAAAGACTTTGTCGGAGATTTAAACCCAAATTATTCGACTACACAGCCAAGGATCTTTACTCCTTGGAAAATAACTTTTAATCGCCTAACAGCAAAGGAAATACAATAGAATGCTATGCTGCTTTACTGAGTGCTTACTTCATTAAAAACTCAAGGGTTAACAGTTGAATTAATTTGTCTGCCGATTTTTGCTAAATTGAAAAAATATTTTCTTATAGTTGATGAGACAAAACCTCGAGAGATGTTTGACGTTTACATCAACAAAACTGGACGTAACGACTAACTGATGGTCTCAGTCAGTTCAATAGAGAATTTTCACCATTCAGGTGACAGTACCATGAACCTATAGCTATAGCTTGAACCTACCCCTTGCTCACTTTTTTTCCTTGGAGTAAAGTGTAAGGAGGAAGTGGGGTAACTAGTTACGGTTGCAAACCTACAGATTATTCATGTAAAATTAAAAAAGTTCGTTGTTTAAAATTAAATATCATTAACTTACTTGATTCATATGGAGCACCTACAAGCGTGAAAATCACCAAACAGAATGTGATAACTACATAAGTGATAGCAAAAATAAGAGGTGCCTAGGAGCAAGAATGAAAAGAGAATGAAATAATAAACATTTATGCATCAATTAGATTGAAAGTAGGGAAATAATAATGTAACAAAATCCAGTGTAATTAAAAGAATCAAGAGTTCTATTCTTTGGGTATGATAACTGAACATGTAGAAAATGAATTCATTTGACATCATACATAAATCGTGGTGAACTACGTAAACTGGTAAGGAAGCTAGATGTTGTTGCCTACTGAATAGCAAGACTAAACTTCAAACTACTGATAAGAATCATCGAAACACTTCACTTAAAACATACATGCACAGTGATTGATCCTTTTTGTCGAATCACATTAAATGGCAAGGACAGCATGAGCATGCTGTTCAGTGTTACAATATGCAGACAGCATTGTTAATATGTATATCTAAGACAAATGAGTAAGCTTTCTACGCTAGTTCTATGTTTATTCCATCGTTATAAATGAATCATAAATTTCGTTTATAAATTGAATGGAATAGATGAACTCGTTAGTCGAATACCCACTTTATAAAACCGAACATCTCAACTGAAAATGAACTAAAACTTGGCAAGTTTATGTTTTCCTCTATGTAATGAATAAACCGTTCATTCTAAATGCTGAACATTTTGTGCAACTGCAGTATATTACTATTATTATTATTGCTGTTATTATTATTGTTACTTGACTGAATGATAGTGAAAGTAAATTGGAACCTGGTAGTTCTAAACTGGGTCATATGTGAGGTCTTTAGTGTGGAGTGTTGGAGAAGCCTAAACCAGAATGAAACGAGTTTTCTGTTTTTCTTGGTATTCAGTTGTTCTGTAACCAACCTTATGATGAAAGCATCCTTAGATTATTAGTAAATATGGTTAAAATGCGTAGAGTTATGGGTTTATTGGATAATAAAAGACAAAGTTCCGGGTGTAAGTAATAATTCAAATTCACTGGCTGTCAGAGCACTTGAGATAAAAATTCAGCGCAGCATAAATCAGCCAAAGAGAACTTGTTGGAACGGTATTTCTGACGTACTAATCTTTATCCTTAATGAATATCATTAGCAGAGTAATTTACTTTTCTGAATTCAGTTATCTCATGGCTAAAGATACCCCGCCCCGCGATGAGTCCCAACAGATATGAGTCCTAGATTCAGGACTTTTAGCAGACTAACATTTTTAACTTTAAAATACAGTGCACAGCAGCATTGCCTTGCTTAGACAGGTGGCCATATTGCAAATGTAGTTGATGGATTTGGATAAGCGCCGAGCTTTAAGAAGTAAACAGATATGCTGTTGAAACTTGATATGTAACGCTTTATTATATGACTTTGATCTGAAACTGAAAGACTTGTAATCCATTTCACTTACAAAAGATATATATGTAAACAGATCACCTGACTTTGTAAATCTTGAAAGATCGAGAAAATGCTGAATACTAACTACTGGCTAAAGGTGGTGGCTATGGATTATTGTATGAAACCTTTGACTACCATTCAGTGGGTTATGATTTCGAATCCCTTCTACTGAAACTTGACCATAGCCACTAGGCATTAATTATCCTTGGCCTTCATGCAACAGGTGTGGGTGATAGCTAAGTGCTTATAAGAAACTTTATTTTGATTTACCACTGAAGTCAGATGTCTCTCAGCAATAAGATATCAGATGTCATTTCCATCTTCTTGTCATTTTAACAATGAGAATTAATTCCTTATTTAACAAACTGAAATCCAAAACCTAAACTAATCTGCTAATAAGGTGTTAGATGATTTTTTTCTCCTATAAATCTGCCTGGTTGTAAATACAACGGTCAGAAAGACTAACGTTTCCGTCTGTATTGTTAACTAGCCAAGTATACCACTAAAGAAAATGGACACTTTTGGATTGAGGTTTACTTTCTTGGCTGGCTGATTTTCAGAGAAAATCTAGTTCACACCGCATTTGTACAGTTGAGGAACTATTTTAAGTGAGGAATTTCGAAGAAGATTTTTGAAATGTTCAGGTTTTCAAAATTGATCATTTAGTTTTCAGTATACCGATTAATCGAAGTCAGTTAGTCAGAATTTAGATGGTTTGAAGTATTCAGTTCCGTTAGGTAAACTCATCTGAGCATTCATTACCGGCAACACTGACAAAAATGAGCGAAGTAACTATTCATTGTTTAAGTCATTCCGATCTAGCCCGTAAAAGATCCGGAATGCTCAAACAGATGAACACCTTTGACTGATTCGATCAAAATAAGTTATGATGATTAACTGTACTAGATATGTTTATGTTAGTTTACTGCTGAAATGTCTAACCAAGGCATCAGCAAATTAATCGTTAATAAATTGTGTAGTTTAATTACAGTTACTAAAAGATGTTTTGTTAAATTATATGGTTATTGCATTATGAAATCAGTGTTATCATTTCCATGAGTTTTATATATAAGTTTTCAATCGATCATTGTTTTGTTAAAGGAAAATTGCATTTCTTACCGGAGACCACGCTGGCTTTATTCATTTATTATTAAGTGAACTCAAAGTCACATGTGTGATTTTCCGAGTATCTCTTGATAAATGGCCAAAATATTGAATGACTATATTAGTACATTCGAAGGAAGGCAGCAAGCGTTATCTAAATGTCGACTCTTGATCTATAACTCAACAGTATTTAATAAACTCAGCTCATTTGGTGGCCATATTTTACAAAAACGTGTATTAACATTGAAATATCATTTAATCATTCAATAATCACTATTTACTAATTATACTTAAATTGTAATACAGCGAAAATGTCATCCATATTATAAATGGGTTAATCGAAGTAAAAATGGGATATACTCACTTTTACAGGTCTTGGTAAATTAGGTCGAGTGAAACGAAAACAATGACAATTGTAACTGAAACACCAATCGCTAACCATTGAACAAAACCCAAATATGTCATTAATGAGTAAAGATCTGTTACAAGTAAGTAGCATAAACTGACAACACACTAAATGAAAGAAGAAAATACAAATTTAATTAATAATGTTTACCATTAAAACATTAGGCAAATATTATGGTAATTTACTTTATAACTCATAACACTAGTGATTTATTCTATTCTTCACTTTAAACAAACTACTGATTGATAAATTAAGATTTTCATATACCTGATCATCGTGATCACTAGGAAAATGTAGATTTAGAAATGAAAGCAAATGTTGCTAATATCATAACAGAACATAGAGTTTAATTACTCAGATCTTAGTATAAAACCAATCACTTTTATGCTAACATGCGATCTAAGTAAAGTAATTACAACCTGACCTTCAAATGTCAGATAATCAGTCAAAGGTAACATGATTAACCGATAACCGTTACAATTTTACTAATTGTTTCTAATGCGGCTCTAATAAACATACGAACAAAAGCATAGAGTAAATAAAGAATGCGGGTGAGGGGGGGGGGGGCTAGATTTGTGGATTAGCCCAAAGGAAATAGAAAGAAACAATTTGTAAAAATTACTGAACCAAAAAATTATCGCCGTCATATTAAGCATCACATGACTCTTCATGTTACCTATTTGGTTGTCGTGTTAAAAAAATATTCTTAGATTTTTCAATCTACTAGTGTTGATATCTCTATCCTAGGTTGGAACATAAACTTGTTAATAAGCGTTTTAGGTTATATGAAAACATAAATAAGAATATGTGATGATATGGACATATGGAAAATAGTGAATAGAGTAGTGAATGTTTCACTTGGTATCGGAAAGTAACGATCAACAATCCAAGTTGACAAAAGTCATAAGAGCAGAAAAAAATCAACGAAAATAAAAAACATGGAAATAAATAAACTGTATATAAGCGAATGATGAATAGGATGACGAAAAATACCTTGTTATCAGGCAGTGGATACATCTAAATGGTCCTTATTAAATATGAGCTGTAATTTATGTTCTCTGATCAACAGTTGCGAATATCCAGAAAATCTACAGCAGACAACTTACAGTTATCTACGTTAAAAACTTCATGGATTTTTATCCAATTCATTTTAACTCAGTTCTGCTACATTCAGCATCCTGATAGACTATTGGTTGCTGTGTATTCTTTCCGTCTAAGTTAATGAAAGTTTATAACCTTACCAGGTGACTAATTTTATTTGCATAGGTCTCTAAGCCTAACATGAATATTGCTCGCTCTGTGATTCTACTACACGCAAAGAACGCTTGTTCATTACCAAAAGTGTAGGTAATAGAACAAATTAGGTCAAAGATGCATATACTTCAATTAAAGTTGTTCACTGTCTTACATTACTTCTTCATATTGTTCGATTTGAACATCTAAATCTAATAGGATAACGATAAGATAGAAGGGACAAGTTCGTTATAAACAGATATCATGGCAATTCCCTCACAAATTTACTGTCTGGAACTTTTACAGAGTAGTTTTCCTCAATAATACATATGTGTTTTGCTTATTCGCATCAATCAGAAGGCAACTTGAATGAATGGCTTTCTTTTCAGCGTCTCTGAATATTAGGGAAACACATACAGTGGACAAAGTGTATCCCATCACTGATTTAGATTACCATCAAAGACTGAATGTTGGTGGTGTTTTCCATAATGAATAACTTGATTGAAGGTCTGCTTCCGTTCTAACTTCAAACTATTGTTATTTTCTTTAAAAAGTAATCTATTCAAATCTTTTAAACATTAATTGTCATTAGTATTGATAATATCTTACAGTAAATAAAACAGCTGGAATTGGAGTGAGTTTATCTTTATGAATGAATGAAATAAATTTTGGCATTTGACCTTCTTGACTAGCCACGAAGAATATCCTTGAGGTAGTCAACATATTACCATTGACACCGCCAAATGTTGAGAAGGCCACAAATATTGGCATAATCCACCAAGCCGAACCGTATATTCGATTAGCGAATGTCTATAATAGATGGAATATTTTACAAAGATAAACAAAAATTTCAACTGCAGCAACAACTTAGGGTAATGCAGAGAAAACGAAATATTATAATGTAATTGGATCCTTATGAAATTAGACCAAAGATCGTAATTAATTTATAGTCGCTGGCCTAGTGGATAAGCTTCTGGTGTTTGAAGTAGTCGGTTCCAAGTTCTAGTTGGAGTTGTGACTCAGTGGTTTGGGTAGACGACTATCAACCAATGGGTCAAGGGGTACAAGCCCCTCTCCAGTTACTGAAGTTTCGGCAGCCAGGTAGTATTACTCACTCTGATACAACAGGTGTGGCTCATTACCTACTGCACAGATACGCTCAATGCTGCAAAAAGCATTTTCTTCGGTTCCTTTTGAAACCTGCTTTTATTACGACTAGGGCTTCGGTTAATAGTGAAACTATCAGAAAAATCCCTACTACTTTACTTTCTATAAATCACCGGGTAACGTGTATTTTAAACTCTTAAGTATCCCGGTTCTTTTCCGCAGTGTATGATAAACTTTTTTATCGTTTTTGTGAACGATATGTCTACTTCAGATTATGTAACTTGAACACCTTAGTTGACACAATTTTAGACTGATAGTTCCTTCCAAGTGTATAAACTTCCTGCTGATTCCCTTCCATTATCAATTAGTTGGTCACATTGTAGTGAGTAATTATTGCTTAACTAATAATTTGTTATTACTAAGCTTTATGTACACGTAAAATCATTGGAATTCACGCACAGTTTGCAATATTCTACTATAGGTTTTGAATCTGTTTTTCAGGGCAAAAGGAATGATGAACCTAAATCAACGTGCATATTATTCATCTATAAGTCCACTACACTTTTAGTCGACTTTTGATAGTCAGAGCCACCAAATAGGTTCACATCACGAATCTACTCTGCAGAGGCAGAAATGGACCCAGTAACTTGAATCAATATATTCATTCAATGTGTTCAATCCACTTGAAAATTTTATTTTTACTGGTCAGCTTGGGCTGATTCCCTTGAGACTGAAAATACACCATTCAGATAAGTGTCAGTAATTGGGAAACTTTAGTTCGAAGTCGTTATTAGATATCTTTCAAGCAAACAACAATAAATACAGGGTACTGTGATACTGAGTTACTAAGTGAAGTGTCTGCATTGCTCAACTGATTGGTTAAGAACTAAGTAATATAATCTTGGTAAGTCTTTCCTGAGCCTAGAGTATCTGTGAAGTGCTGTAACACAGCTATGGCTCATTTCGAATAGTGTGAAATTCAATAACTCATCTTCATGACCAGCAGTGGAATACAGGGAGGGCGTTTCGTTCTATTTATGACTCAGCAACTGGATGTACCTGCACCCCAGAGAGTCGTATTATTCCCACTGAGACTCAAATCCAGTTCCCATCGCTTCAAAAGTCACAGCATTATTCACTATGCCATTGAGCAACCAGAGCTGACTACATGAGTTCTAGATAACCAGGTAACCAGTAACGAAGTTAAAAACCACCCTCCACCATTATCATGTCTACGTTGTTTCTTTTATCCATGTGATAGCTTCTTTGGGTACATGGAACGGAGAATGTCTTATGGTTTTCTTGATGGAACCTCATTTCTTCAGTAATTTTTTATCCATCTTCTGAGCAGTATATATATATATATATATATATTCTTTTCGTCAGAGTTTTCCACCTCCTTTGTAGTTGACTATCTATGCTACCACATATCTATCTTTCTTGGTTATCATAATAGTCGAGATGTCGATTCCATTCTGATAAGACCTCCAGTGAAAAATAGCCGACTGGATTATGAGTCACCTAACTTCAGTAGTGTTTAGTACAGAAAAGAAAGTCGGTTGTTTCTTACCTCTTGGTGAAATGCTTCCAAAATGATCGCATAGTAATGAGTTTACTTAGATCTCTTCAAGCTTTTCATAGAGAAAGAAGATTGCTATGACAGTAAATGAAATGACTGAGTGAAATTTATGGCTTGAGTAAATTAAGATTACCAATCCAGTACCTTAAGCTTTGTATTCAGATATAAGAATACCTATAGGAAACCCTTGGCTTCTGACTGTGGAAAGTCATTATATCAGCATGTTTAAGTTATATAAAAACGTACTGGAAAATGAAAAACATTTGCTAGAATTTGATTGGTTCATCCAATCATTATTACTTCCAGTGACAATATGCGGGCTATTTATTCAGCTAGTAAGCTCGCACATTAGCGAATGAAGACCTAAAATATTGATCTATATTCGTTTTTAATATTACACATCATGTACTTTGATTAAATGAGTCTCATGTATTCGAGTAATGACATAACTTAAAGTCAATAAATGTTTTTGATGGTGTTGTGTTCTCTGAGTTGAGTGCTTTAATCGTCAAGCTTTCATTTTCATTCTAGACAACATCATCAGTACAAACTTCAAGTAGAAGTGAGCTACGGGATTTTCTCCTTAATTTATTTAGTAGTTTGTCCTGATGACCGTGTGTATGATTGGTTGTTTTTGTCAAAGTCTTGTCATTGTCCCCATATTTACTTCGTTTAGCTGTCCTGTTGACGTGAACTCTGATATTCTAGATGTTCATTATTGATTGATAGATTGGGTCAATATCAAAATTTCTGCTGATCGCTGACTCACCTGAATTTTAAGTTTCTAAAAATTCCCCAGCATTCTTTGTATTTCCTCTCCCCTGGATTTCTACATTTTCCTAGTCAAATGTCCACAGCTGTCCGTGTGCACTGATATAAGCAAAGATATGTCATGACGCTTTACTACTAGTTCATGTTCATGCAGACGGATACGAAGACGGTGACGTCTCTGTCAGATATAGACCTTTTTCGCAGTTTATTTTGCAGATAACGGTTGGTTTACTTTCCTTCGATATTGCATTTTTGGCCAGCACCACAGAGAGTAACTATATTTTGTGAGCTTGGAAGGTACATCGATTCCAAAGGCTGTCAATAATCCAGTCGCGATCTCAAAGACGTTCTTCATCTAGATTAAGGTAATCCGCTTGTTGAATTCCAAGGATGACTTTTTGGTCAATGAAGAATTATGCAGGCGTCTTTTGATGATGTTGCATGGATAGCCGTTCTTCTGGAAAATGGTTATTAAATATTTTTTTCTCCTTAAGGATCATGTATTAAAGTGTGTCTTCGCTCTTTCGAACAATTTTTTTATACAGCTGATTTTGTATGCTGTTAGGTTGTTGCTATTATAGTTGAGGATATGATGTATATATGAGTCGGTTTTCTGCATATTTCAGCATAGAGACAACTTCAAGATTGTCAAAAACAATCAATCATTAACAAAGCTATCAGGAATTTTGTGCTGATGATGTCTAGAATGGCAGTGAGAGGTTCATGATTAAACAACCAGCTCAAAGAACATAATACCATCGAAATTATTCTCACAAGCTACAATTATTCTTCATCATCTCGACAATGTATACATTCATTGTGGCTTGCAGTTCCCCTAATTGATCAGTCACCCTTGGCAGATGGACTAGCTAAATGTATGCTTCAATAATACCTCAAGTTCCATTTATATTTTATTCACTTTGGTGGGTGCTAGGATGAAAACTCCATCCTAGGTTTCATTACTAACCCCCATCATGAAAATCCCCCCAAAATGACAATGAATGCAATACAGACCTGTTCAAGTAAGAAACTCCTGAGATCAGAAAAACGACTACTGATTTCTAAGCAGAATTAAAGCAATAAATTCTACTTCATCAGCTTGACTATCTGAAATATCTATGGTTTGGCAGACGTGTAGTGATACTGGTTGATGACTGAAAGTGAAACGAAAAGATGGGTAGTGGGAGGATTCGAACCGGCAACCAACTTTATCAAAACTCTTTAACGATGCATTTTTATCAGTTAACTAATTCCGGTAACTGTCAATGTATTCCACATAAGACAGAAAATGCATACAACTAGATTCAATGAAATTAATTTTGGGCATCAATTCAATTGAGATCATCATCCTTAGTATACAGTTTTTATATCAATAGTCATCAGTGGTATTTTCACGAAAAATGTTAGTCTGCTAATGATTATTATTTCAGCCGTTAGTACAGGTAACTAATCGATTGGGAAACAATGGAAATCTGCAGAAAATATTAATTTTGTCCACTTCTTAACAATTTAGTGTGTTTAAAATATTACGGGTATATAGATGAAAATTCCTTTTATCCACCTAACCAATTATGTCTATATACACATATGTCCTCATGAGTTTCACGGTAAAGATTTTTAGCGAAACACAAGTTGGTCAAATAGAATTTTGCGAATATCCTATCTATTTTTATAATTGTCATTAACAGTGACAAAAAGAAATCTGACGAAAGAAAAGGTAACCATATATACATATATATATATATATATATATATATATATATATATATATATATATATATATATATATATATATACAATTTTATCCCGTTTGCTTGATCCGACTACATGAAATTAATGCTCGATGGGAAACAACACAACCATGAACAAACTAACAACAAACATTCGTAAAAATGATTTAATATCAGAAGAAAAATAACTCCCCAATTTCACTCTTCTAACCCTGCAAATATTATAAGATTTAGAGAATAAGGAAAGAAAAGTGACTCTATTCAATTGATTTTTCGTAACAGCTCTTTCAATAATTAATCACAAACTACTAATCTAATAAGAGAGTATATTTTAGGTAGATAGTTTGTTTGGAATCGGCCAACTGTGAAAGAATTCAAATTAGCTAGAAAACTATGAAAAACCAAGGTTGATTGGTCTACTATCACTTACAAAATGTGAACAAGCGTTCTGATTAAAGCAGCTTTACCAACCAGCCGAATAATATTCATAGTTTTTCAGGTTTATCTATCCCATTTCAAACATGGCATGTCTTCACAGAGTACAATCTTACACTCCTTTAAAAATTGAATTAAAGATGGCATACAAATTTCTATCATTTGGAAAGTTTGTTTTCAGGGCAAGG